CGTAGCTTCTCCGACGAGTCAGGTCAGCGGTTTTAGAATTCGGGACCAACTGCCACCGTTCGTAGTAGGCGAGGACATGGCGAAGTACCTCGTCAAGTTTGAACACGTCTGTGAGCGAAACGCTTTGGAGCGGTCTCTTTGGGCGCAGAGCCTGTTAGCTCTTCTTCCCGGCGAAGTGTCCGACGCATTAACTTGCTTGTCTAGGGAAGCGTTTGAGAGCTATGACGAGGTTAAGGAAGTGCTCTTGAGACGGTACAAGTTGTCACCCGAGGCTTTCAGGCAAAGGTTCCGGTATGCTGAAAAGGGGAATGAGTCACACGTTGACTTCGCGTTTCGTCTTAAAGCCGATTTAATTGAATGGCTCAAGGGCGAAGGTGTTTATGATGATCGCGATAAAGTGGTGGAATGCGTTGCATTGGAGCAATTCTACCGCTGCATCGAGGATAATGTCAGACTTTGGCTGCAGGACAGACTTGGGGAAGTACAGTTAAATAAGGCAGCTGAGTTAGCTGAGGAGTATTATACTCGCCGAAAGTTGCATAGCAGGGCAGTGCGCGTTGAAAAGGATGAGAGAAAAGAGAGCTTTTCAAGGAAACCTGATCAACGGAAACCCGTTCCGCACCGTAATTTCAAAAAGGACCCATCTCTTACTAAGGACAGTGTAGGGGAAGGGCAAGCAGAAGCGGAGAAATCGAGTGAGGTTTCTACCACACAGGCATTTGAATCGGAAAACAAACGGAAGCCGCTAATCTGCTACAACTCTAAAAAGGAAGGGCACATCGCGAGAAACTGTCAGGAAAAGTTTGCCTTCGCAACGATCCGAGAATCAGAAAAAAACATGCGGTTGTTGGAGCCGTATCTCCAAGAAATTAGGGTCAATGAGAAAACGTGCCGAGCACTTAGAGACTCAGCGGCAACCATGGACGTTGTCCATCCTTCATTGGTGTCTCCGGATGACTTCACAGGAGAATGCGCGTGGATCAGGCAAGTCGCCGAGGAGCAGAGTGTTCGCTTACCAATCGCCACCGTTGTCATTGAAGGCCCGTTCGGTAAGCTTTGCACCGAAGCGGCTGTGTCTGCCGCGCTGAATGGTCGTTTTTCTTATCTTTTCTCCAACAACTCGGAGCAGCTTCTCAAAGAGCAGGGCAAATCGTTCTTCCCCAACTTAGCGTGCATGGCTCCCACGCGATCGCAAGCGCGAAAGCTTTCGCGGAAGCTTGACTTGGTTCCATGCGGTGAACTCTCAAGTGACCTTGTCGGCGGGTCGACGGAACCCCAGAAAGGGAATTTTCCGCATGAGTCATGTGAGCAGTCACGCGAGCGGCCCGTCGCGGGAGTGGCCGGCGCGGTATGCGCTGGGGGAGACGACGTGGCGCCATTGAGTCAGAGCGAGAGGGTTGCAACGCTCTCGCCTGTAGCGGAAAGTTGGAGCGAGCTGCCGAGAGTTGGTCGAGAGACGCTCATTCGAGGGCAGAGTGAGGATCTCTCGATTGAAGCGCTAGTGGAAAGCCAAATTGAAGCGCTCGTGGAAAGCCAGAAAAACGCGGCAAAAGTGCTGTCGAAGGAGCACTACGAGAAATCGGGGAAGAAGCGCGCTTTTGAAGTTGATAATCAGGTAATGCGGCTGCAGCCACCAAAAAGGAACAAGCTTGAGGTTGATTGGGAAGGGCCCGCCACAGTATTATCGAAGCCTTGCGATACAACTTATGAGGTGCAAGTAGGAAGGCGGCAGAACAAAATTTACAACTTGATGAAACCCAATGTTCAACATCAAGCGGTCGTAAATCAGCTGTTGAAGGCTTCAGAGGAAGAGGGAGCAGAAAATTTGAGTTCTAGTGAGGTGATCGAAGGGGGATCGAAAGTAATTTGGGAGCAGATAAACCTAGAGCCTAGCTTAAGTGAAGGAGGACCTGAGAAAGAGGACCTGAGAAAGATTGGTTCCGAGTTTGAAGACGTGTTTTCGGACCGCCCCGGAAACATGAGGGTGATCGAACACGATATCGAGCTAAGCGGTGAGGAGTCAATCAGTAGCAAGCCGTATCGTTGTTCCCCTGTGCAACGTCGCAAGTGTGAGCCGCTCTTGGTGCCGCATAGGTATCGTCGCCTAAAAGTGGCCGGTTACTGAGGTGGAGCATGTTGCTCCACAGCGCAACTTTGACGTTCGCTAAAGAAAAAAAAAAAGGGAAAGGTAAACGCTAATGCAGGTGCATTGAGCAGTGCGTTCCAGCTAGTAACTTCTCAACCTTTCGGTTTCTCGCTGGCGATTCGGGGCAAAATTTTGACCTCATCACGACCTGGGCTGAGCGCTCTCGTTCAGAGTGATCTCAAGGGGCCAACTTTGTGGTATTCTAATTCGTTACGTTGTTGTACGTGGAAAAAAAAAAATTGAGTTGTCATTTTAAGAGTCTTGTGTCCCACATGTGCCTCTTGATGTAGAGGGAACAAAATTCCGATAGACACGTAGATAGGTATATGTTGTACTATACTTTGTCTGGTGTTCTGTCGGGTGACCGAGGGCACTTGCTTGTGTCGTGTGTTGTCTGTGTCGAACCGTTCTTAGCAAGTTGCAGAACCATCGACAAGTGCTGAAACCGAAGATGGTCAGAAGAGACGAGCGAAGTTGGCCAGCAAGTTGTGGCGACAAGCCAGTGGAGCTGGGATCCGTCGTCAAAAATGGGATGTGTTCCCGGACCAGTCTGGAGCTGTATTCTCCCCATGGCCCTGGAGGCGAACCTGGAGGGACCAGGCGAACGAGCGCACCTGACATCCGAGCCCCGTGGAAGCAGCTCGTCTTTCCGGTGCATTGTCTGGCGGCGGGGGTGCTGTTATGCCAGCGAGTCCTCGTCAAACGACCGTGCCTCTGAAAAAGGCAAGTTTCTGCAACGTGTCAGGGCAGCTCATCTCACAATAAAGCCATCTAAAAGTGAGGTGGCTTTTGCCGAAGTGAAATTCTCAAGACACATTCTCGGGAACAATCTTCTCCGACCCCAGATTGAGACATTGGAGAAGATTCAGGCCGCAAAGAGACCGAAGACGGAGAAAGAAGTTCGCTCCTTTCTAGGTTTAACCGGTTATTATCGGGATTTCGTCCCCAATTACTCCGCTGTAGTATCACCTCTAACGGAACTCACTAGGAAGCGAGGTCCAAATAAGGTCATCTGGGAAGAATGCCATGAACAAGCGTTTGTAACACTACAGCGTATACTATCATCTGGTCCGGTACTGCGATCACCGGACTTACAAGAGCCATTCATATTGCGCACGGATGCATCTTCATCCAGCATTGGAGCCGTTTTAATGCAGCGTCACGACGGCATGTTGCATGCAGTAGCCTACGCAAGCCGTAAACTGCTCGAACGGGAGTCACGGTACTCAACAATCGAAAGAGAGGCGCTGGCTCTTGTGTGGTCTATCCAAAAGTTTCATGTGTACCTCTTCGGAAACCGATTCGTGCTGCAAACTGACCACCAGCCTCTTGCTTACATAAATTTCGCAAAATAAATCAACAGCCGAGTACTCCGCTGGAGCCTATTGCTTACTGAGTATGACTTTGTGGTTGAGTACATTAAGGGCTCCAACAACATAGGTGCCGACTACCTCAGCCGCATTTGACTTCTCCGCTGGTTAGCGTTTAGTGGTGGCACAATTTCTTTTCATGTTAATTCACCCTTTCCCTAACGGAATGAACTTCTGTAAATAATGTTTTTTTTTACTATGTTTTCGCTTTTGGGTACTCCACCTCGCGCGCTTGTGAAAAGTTATTTTCGCCCTAAACAACTTTCTCTACGCCAAGCATCACGCCACCTGGGGATATTTGTAAGGAAAGGACACAAAAGTGCTGTGTTTAGGTACGATTTGTGGCTAAAAGGACTTAAAAGCGCCGAGGAACGTCAAACCAAAACTGAAGAAGACGAGCGGAGGGCAGGTGGCACGAAGGCGATAACAAGAAATGAAAAAGAAGAGGAGAAGAAGAAGGAACGTGCGAAAGAGAGCTCGAGGGTTGAGGCCACGAAGGCAGACGAAGCGGTGCGCCGCTCGAGAGGACGAGTTCCTGGCAGCGTTCCTGAGCCGGACGTGGGACTTGTACGTGCCGGCCAGGTCGAGCTCCGGTGTGTCCGTTCGAGGTCGAGTCCGTCGGCCTGTACAAGGTCCAAGGACGGGGCCTGCTGAACGGCTCCTGCCTGGGTGCAGTGGCCGGGAGCAGGTTCGCGGGCGAGGCCTACCGGGCGTGGTCCTCGTGAGCCGTGGCCTGACCCTGGACCTCAGGAGTTGCGACCCTGACTGCCGGGTTGGCCGCGACGTCCGACTAAACGGCGCTGCACACGGTAGCGCATCCGTGTGCCGTCAGCCGTTCCAGCCGTGCCACCTTTGCCCTCGTGCACGTCGACGACCGCATCATGTCGAGACGACGGGGACCCAAACTGTGAGGCAGCGGTTTCTGCTTGCGAACCGAGAACTATACGCGCTGGACACTGAGTAAGCGTAGCCGCGAGCTCTCCGCATAATAGAGGTCTGACTCTTGTGCAGGTGGCGTGATGCTTGGCGTGTAGGGTTGGATATATAGTTTTATTTTCACCTGCCATTTCCTCTCTAGTGTGCAATATAAAGCTTCTTTTGTTCGCATCAATTGTTGATGTTAATCCTTTCTCGTCCGCTATCGACAAGCGTAGTGACGAACGTCCTTAACCATCACAGCATGGTATCGACTTTCCATGGCGGAACTTTTTTTCTCTGCCACCTGATCATTTACATTTTTATGACGTCATTTCCGTGACGGAAATAAGTCGCTAAAGTCTTGGTGGACCTCAGCATAAAACACTTTGGTGTAGGAGAAAAGAAAGGGTATTGGTCTTACACTCTCGGTTTTCATCGATACGTAGCTTTCGCATTCACCATGGGCAATAGATTTGGACTCCTTTATACTCCTGCGAAACGCACTGCATTGTTAGGTAAGCAAAGATTTTGCACCCTTGGCTTTCTCACGTGTCGCTTTCTCCCAGTACCAAGACCTGATCAACAAGAACGGACCGTAACGCACGATCGGGACAAGATTATCGACGTCATGCGAGAGCTGGACGAAAAGAAGAACATGGCTCTCAGGGAAGCCTGGAAAAAAGTCGACAAGGTGTGGGCACCCACAATTTTTCTCCCTAAATGTTTGCGGTATTCACCGCGAGCGTGTGTACACTTGACAGGCATAGCATGTTCTGAGACGAGTTTCAATTGCTATTCTATTATGCGATATAGACTGCAGGTGAATCTGCAAAAACTTCTTAAATCCATCTAGAACTAGCAATGTTACGGGTATTTATGGCATGCTTGAAAGGAGTACAGGCAGGAATTTTAAGTATTTTTGGATTATAGCATTTAAATAAACATTGGTGTTGAGAACCCTGTAAAAGAGTATCACAATGCATGGGAATGTGTTAAATGTATGTTTTAGAGCTGTTTTGGATGCAAATTGAATGAAATATTTTTCTAGTGCTTTGAAGTGAAATTGCAGAAGAAAAAGAACACATACAGGTACTGTATGTAACTACGCTCTAATTTAGCACTTTCAAGCAGAACCTGAATGATAAACATCGCAAGCACGCATCTCTGTGCGGCAGGGGGTTTCACTTGCCTAGACTTTGGACTTCATTACGAAAACTATCGCGGGATGGCTTTTCATATTTGCACTTAAGTCTGACGTACTTTGAAACATCAGGCACTGCCACAATGCACACTGCATCCGAACTTAGTGAAGACTACATTCATTCATGGTTCTGTTGAAAGAGACTAATCCGAAGTTTGCGGTCAAGGACATCATGCTAGTGGACATGCGAAAGTGAAGAAGGCAATGTGCTGCGCAACAAGCAACGAGTCGCATCACCCAGTCGCATCACTCGGAACCGTGCATGGCATTTTGCACATCGGCAGCGGATGCAGTACCAAGCATGCTGCACGCTCGTTCGCCATTGTTATGATTAATTTCTGTTATTACGAACTATTGCATTTCTTTTCCTGAGGTCTGCATACCTACTTCGAATAGTAGTAGTCCAGTGTGAATCGAATAGCAAACACTATTAGAAAAATATTCAGAAGGTTAAGTACGTATTGTCGCACCCCTACTTTTTTGATCCTGTTAGTGAATTGCCCTTTCACAGTACTAACAGCGCCACTGTCCCAATCAGATTATGCTTTATAACCGAGAAAATGTGCGAAAAGAAAGCTGCAAGTAGCCGTGTTACCCCGAAAATTTTCGAACCAAGCTGTCAAAGATTCTAAAATGTCAAAGATTCTAAAAGCGTCTGCTAGGTCTTATGTAGTTGCTAATTTTTAAAAAAATGATTTTTTCTTTGATGGGCGTCAGGGACTTGTACCAAGCTTCAGGACAGAAGATATGGCCTTGTCCGTTTCATCTGTCCGTATCTAACCTGTTGCGCTGTCACTTATTCAACCATGCGTGTAGAACAGAACCAAGAAGCTTGATAGTTTTACCTGCTCCTTTTGCTTGCACACTAACTTATAGCAATTTGAGAACTCTATAGTTTATATCATCTCAAGTAACTCGAGCTCCTATCTAGAATGAAGCTCCTATCTACAACACTGGACAGCCTCCTCATTACTGTTTGTGTATTAACAAGCCTCGGCTCCTCCTTAACTTCTCTTTTAAGTCAAGTTGCTTGCCTTTCAAGTGTAGCTTGTTTGTTTCTTTTTGTTTAGAAATATTTGTTAAGACCATTAACTAAAGTTTGTCATTGAGCATTTTTGTGGTGCTCGTGTGCAGGACTTTGGCTCCATCTTCTCGACGCTGCTTCCTGGCACGGACGCCAAACTTGTTCCCCCCGACGGCATGGACGCACTCCAAGGTCTCGAGGTCAAAGTGGCATTTGGGGGCGTGTGGAAAGAATCTCTGCAGGAGCTCAGCGGAGGACAGCGGTGAGATGACCCTCATTGCTTTGTGTACTGTTCCCTAAACCGTGTTGTACATTTGCAACCGATCCCGGATATATTGAACTCGAAGAAGATCGTCAAATAGTTTGATACATTGTTAATTCAGGATACAAAATGTGCGTATATATTGCTTATAGTAGTGCATTGCAGGTCTCAAAACTATTTTTTCAAAAAATTTTTACAACCTCTAACATAACGATTAGCTCACAGTATGCTGAAAAACAAGTCGACCCGCTTCTCTATCTCTCTTCTTTTTCCCTTTTTTCTTTCCCTTCATCCCCCCCCCCCTTGTTGTCAAGTTTATCGATCCGTGCCTAATATCATTAAAGCTTTGCAAATTAGCAAGCTCAGCACCTTCCACCACGACAGTATGTCTCCAAAACAAAAAACGCCACCACAATGACATTGTTTGTGTGATTTAGCGCTGCACCAAAACAGATGTAATGGCGCCCCGAGGAGCAGTAAACAAGAGAGTCGCGAGCTGTTGCGCTCTAAGAGATTAAAAAATCAGACAGCCATCAGCTTTGCGGGCGCAAAAAGCGATGCCCACCCGAAAGACTAAACCAAAACCAGCCGCACCGTGTGCGTGTCCTGATGCCCTAATTGAAAGCCGCTGAGCCTCTTGGGAAAGCATTAAAAAAAAATTTTGCAACCAAGAGACATTATTGCATGAGAAACATTTCGCGTATCCTCAAGCATGGCAGCAAATGCCACACAAAAAACAAAGATGAAAAAAATGCGCGAGTTTTAAACCACTCCCACAACGAACGCGCTCAGAAGCATGAGCGATTGCCGGTACGCTGCCTTTGAAGCAAAAATAAAACACTACGGAGCGACATACGCGCATAAAAAAATTGGCCCCGTATCTGCGTGTTCCACCTCAAATGTCATCAAAACATGATAGTCTTGCGTGTGGAGAGAGTGAAAAAACGTTTATTTGATGTTCTGCACGAAAAAATCGATGAATTGTATTCTGGAAGCGCTGCGTTAGAGAGTCTCGATCCGTGCAGCGAAGGCGAACGAGCGCATTGAGGCACGTTAGACACGAGTGCCATCTGGCATGTTATCCTCGAAAACGAAGGAAGGCGTGAACGCCTGTGGAGATGGATGCGCGCCTATCTCGGAAGCGATGAGTATAACGCAAAGTGACGGGCAGGTGCCATCCCTGTGTCGCCTTAGCAAAGCATCGGAAACACTTGCCTTTTTGAGCATCGCGTTGCACTGTCAGCAGAGCGTGATTAACGCAACGGTCCTTAGAATTACTTGTGTGTGCCTTCTCTAGTATAAAGGCACACATACAAGACATCGACATGTTGTTATGGTGCCTGAGATATGCGCAATAATTGCTTTTTAATTGACATTCGTTCAAGTATGAACGCTGAAACTTGACCAATATGGGAGTGGGCGCTGCGGATGGGGTCGGCCGTTTGAGGTATTGTTTGGTGCCGCTAGGGCGATCGTTACTGCCGACAGACGGAAAGACAGATGAAAATTTTTGCGTCAAAGTACCCCAAGAAGGACTATCATCTTTAAAAAAAATTCTACATATTCTCGCAGCACTTGTTAAGAGAGAGAAATGATGGAAAATGGTGCGCATTTTAAACGTACAGGTGATGCTGTACGAGTAAGGTGAAAACCCTTTGGTCCATGCTACGAGATGCCGTATGTGTACATCGAAAATCCTGAAAGGGTAAATTGCACCCGCATGCACTCGCTGTATGGTAGTGAGTACGAGTGTGGTAGTTGCCACTTAAAAGCTTTACTTGGAGTCATTCAGCACTGTGTACGATGTTGCTGCGGCACAGGGAAACAATAAACATGACAACACACATGTTGGTGCATTGCCCCGAGTCATGTTCATGAGAAATCCCGATGATTATAGAATACTAGGGTCTCCATAGCTTTAAGGGGGGACACGGGTCTAAGAAGGCCAAAAATCGCAAAAAAATTGACTTTTTGAAGATGGCATTTTCGGAATCTGTACCTATTTTTGTATCTATCTGAGTAGTTTGTAGGTTCTTGTGTCATTATTTCTGGCGCAAAATCAATTTATAACATCCCTGTGAAATGAATATGAGCCCAAATTGACGCTAAAGTCGCTGCTTTTTCCGTCTCGAACTGGTGCCGTTACACACGAGCTATCGTTTTCATCTTGGTCTCGTTTGGAAGGGTTGTTGTTCATCTTCGATTTCCCGCCACCGCTGGCTCGCCTTGCTCATTGGTTTTTAGCAAAAACGCATCATCGAGAAGCATGTAGCGCACGATTCAATTGGCTGCTTGGGGCACGTGACAAAACCTAGGCATCCTATTGGCTAAGGGGTGCTTCCGGCGTCTGCTTCACCATCGTGACGCGCACGGACATGCGCCATTTTGTCATGGTGCTACTGACTGCCTGCAGGCAGTAGAGAAGTTCCGTGCTACAGTAGTTTGTGAAGCGGGTGTGGCAGGTCGTTCGTTCGTTGTGAACTTCTGAAAGAGCCACACTATGGCTAGCACAACGAGGATAACGAACTCGACGCTGGTCAATGGCGGTCGCCGAGTCACCGGTGTAGGCCTAACTCGCGTACGAGCCCGTTGGTTGCCGACAACGTTACTGAAAACGGCTGTATTTTGCAGCCTCATCAGTTAGAGGACGGCAAGTAAAAAGCAGAAGTGAAGCTACAAGATATATCAATCTTCGTAGTGACGAAGCGGAAGCGCAGTCTTATCGCTAAGCGCATCGATGCTGTGGTTCCCCTCGCCTGACGAAAGGACCTTGAACTGCGCGACGGGTCGTTAGCGTGGAGTATTGCGCGCGTCGACGAACAACAGAAAGTCAATTCGTTCGCGGTGAACATGCTCGCCACCCCGGCAATGGAAGCTACTGGCAACAGGTAAACTGCTTTTAACAACGGGTTGGCAACATCGTCGTGATCTCCGCTCGAAAATGTGGCAGTCTTACGTGAAAAGGAAACTAACACCTCGGCACTCGTGTAGCCTCGAAGTTGATGAGCGAGGGAGCAACTATTGGCTCGCGACAGTTTACGGGCAACTCATTCTAGTACAAGCCGGAAAACATCGCCGTGTTATTCGAAGGATTGCGGATGACGCACGCACATTTGTCGCACATCGCTGTCAGTACAGTCAACGAACTGATAAGCGGCCTCACGGCAGTTGAGTACACGGCGACAACTTGCTACAGGATTAGAAGAAATGACATGCTCGTGCAATCAATCAGTCCTATTACATTCCCGGTGCATATTAACTGACTAAAGGCATGTGTGTCATGATATTTTTCCTTCGGAACGGCGAAATAAAGTTTTAACAGCATTATTCTCGAAACACAGATTTTGACCACTTTCTTTTGCTTGTTCGGTAAAAGTGGACCTAGGACAGCTAGAGCTGTAATTGGTTTTGCACAATGTAGCTAAATGTGCACAAAAGAATAATGCTGGGAGCCTACTTTTAAAGGGCAGCTTCATTTTTTTATTTTAATATATAAAAATTTCTGTATTTGGTTGCATGCAATGGACTTTACTGTGCTGTAATTTGAGAAGTACTCGTTCAATTTTCGATCAGTTTGCAGCGTTGCACTCCTTAGGCTTTCTAGCATTCATATGTATGTCAATGGCTGTGTAATTCTAAGTACATACATTTTTACAGATAAAAATGTTAGAATTTTTTGTTTTCTTTATTTTCTCAAAATGGCAATTTTGTACACCCTGCATGAAAATTACTGCAATATATCGGAAACTATTACAGATAGCAGAATATATATATATTTTTTTTGCAGCCTGAAGCTAGATGTTTGGAGCACACAACATAGGAAGCAGATTTCGATTTCCCTTGATGCAAGTTTTTGAAACTAGTTTTTTGTGTGACCACCTAATGGCCACATTCAGAGCTGTGAAGTTTTGTGTACTGTAAAGTTAGAAATAATGACCCAATCAAAAAAGTGCTTTTTATGTTGTATGTCTTATGCTTTCTACTGTCAATCTTCTATGTCATTTATAAATTTTTGACAGGTTGTTATTTTTCTATTATGGTAAGAACAATAGAAATTGTTATCTTGATTAGTTAATTAACTAATGAAGCTACAGAAAAAATAACTACAATTTTAGAATCAGGAGAACAAACTAAGTAAGCATGCCAACTTTTGTCACATCTGGTTCAAAAATAAATGAGAGAGCCCTAAGACCCATGTCTCCCCTTAACTGCCGACATCACACCACCATTAATCTTCTTGTGTGTCGAATTTTCTCCTCTGTATACCCGCCACGGTGGCCTTATTATTATTATTACTATCTCTCCTCTGTATGAAATAGGTCACTGGTGGCCCTATCCTTGATCCTGTCCTTGCTGTTGTTCAAGCCGGCACCCATTTATATTCTGGACGAAGTGGACGCCGCGCTTGACCTCTCGCACACGCAAAACATCGGCCAGATGCTGCGCGCCCATTTCAAGCAGTCGCAGGTGAGTCTTAACATTACCCTTTCTCGTTCAAGCTTCAGCTTCCAGTCTCGAGTCTGTGTATTGCTCCAAATCTCAGAAAAAGCTGAAAACGTCTCTCTCCCACGAATTACTCAAGTATAGGAATTTCGAGGCACTAGCATCCTTAAAATTGCCACTCGGCGGCATTTGAATAAGGAGCGCATGTATCGCTGATTGCTATTTAGGCGCAAAATTTGAGCATGAGCTAGCCATCATACATGTCATATAAGTGTTCATCTATGCCTCGTGCTTTGCGCAAAATTTGGTGACTTGCCTGCATATACATTCGTACGCCTGTGTTCGGTACATTTCTGCGTGTTCGCTGTTCATGCCACCATTTGTCGAGAGCTGCAATGCAAAGCTCTAGGTATTTGAGCTGCGGTGTTGTTACAACAGAAGCAAGGTCTGAACCTTGTTGCCATTGGTAGGTATTGGATTCCTGCTCGTTGTATTCATCTACACTACAGTTACCGTTCAGCACTCGCAGAAGCTTCGCTGCCGCCCAGTGTGCCAAATCGGAACACTCTGTTGCATTGTTATCAGGTGAAGAACTCATTTGAAATGATGCTCGAGCCCCAGTGCAACTAGAAATCGGGTCATCGAAAAAACGTCTTTGAAATGCTAAGATGGATGTGACATCAGCCCATTGTATGTATCCACTCCTCAAGTGAAGACCGAGGATGGGCAGCATGTGACCACACTGTTTTACCATTTCTACGAGAGGTGTGCATTTTAAATATTCGAAATTTCAAATATTTTTTTCAAATATTGCTTGCTATTCGATTCGCACCATCCAAAATTTTACTATTCGAGCTGTTCAGACTTCCTGAAGACAAATGTAGTCAACATCAGATTGGCAGTGCCCCGCAAGGTCGCGGGATCGAATTTCGGCTGCTGCGGCTGCATTTTCGGTGGACGTGAAAATGCTGTAGGCTCGTGTGCTCAGATTTCAGTGCACGTTAAAAAACCGCAGGCGGTCGAAATTTTTTGGGCGCCTTCACTACGGCATCTCTCATAATCAAATAATTTTTTGGGGACATTAAACCCCACATATCAAATCATCAGATTGGCAGTGGCCCCGTTCAGATTTTCATTAATCTTCGCCCCATCAGTGATGTTCCGTACTACGCCGAAAAATTCCCATTCAGAGACACGGAAATTCCCTGTTTCGGGGATATTTCCCAGCACAACAGTACCAATTTTTGCCCTCATTCATGCACGCACACACTCTAATTACTCGTGTCGGACGTACTGCCAACTTTCGAAATCATGACTCGCCCCTCCACTGCTGCACAACAAAAGCATAACTTTATTCATTCAAATACTGTTAGCGCACTGCACACTGTGGGCTTCAAGTCTAACACAAATAGTGAACTAGAAATCGTTCCGCGTAGATATCAGAAACAAATTTCAAGGGCTAAGCTTGCGTGGTGGATGCACCAAATAAAGTTACAGTCGATAAAGGCGCACTGGGACCTCTAATTATCGGTTGTCATAGAAGAACTTAACCATTGTTTAAGTTCCCTGCAATGTTACGAAGATTCCCTTTGGCTCAAAATGAGAGGCGTAGATTTCCCAAAAAAGGAAAAATTTCCTGCGTGAAACATCACTGTGCCCCATCACATTCTCGTATTGTGGCAGTGCTACCTTTCAGGCTTTGCTACGGTCGCAAATGTACTGACTCAAAAAAAAAAGCTGGTTCCAACATGGAGAGATGGATGTTGCAAAGTTGGGGGCTCGGTTAATGCCATTTTAGACCAGGAATTCAGGCAGCAAGTCGTAAAAATGGGATGCCCAAGTTTTTTATCATCCGAATTTTAATTATTCTTATTAGGCTTGTGGGAATGTTTGAATGTTTTTCACCAATAATGCAGTATTCGAATTCGCTTCAAATCCAATTTAAGATATCGAAAATTTTAAGTTGATCGAGATCAACAAATACTAAATGCATAATGGTCCGAGAACAGAACGACGACAAAGAGACAAGAAGGACACGAGCGCTCGTGTCCTTGTGTTTTTGTCGTCATTCCGTTCTCGGGCTATAACTATCGCCATGTCATACCAACTAGCCCAAACTGCCACACGCATAATGGTCTGCATGATACATTTTGTAAAGGTAGCTTCAGTGCAGTGGAGAAGTGATAAGTTGTGAAAACACATATACAGGCGTATATTGATTCGCATGTAACGTTTTGTAAAAGTGGTTTCACTGCAAGGAGGTGATGCTGCGCCGTGAAATTACATATTCGAAAGAAATCCGCACTGCTGCAAAGCCTTACTTCAAGGTTAAATGAAGATATTGCCCTATTAGAAAACATGTATGAATATTGCTTATTAGTGTACCTAAAATCTGAAATAAAGAAAGGAAATGACTACCTTATCTGAATGGCATGCTTAGAGCGAAGCACCTCGTCTCGACCTACTAGACAGAGCGATTATTGGAAGATTCTATGATGCCAAACGAACTATGGTCTCCAAATGCTGAAATATTCACTCCCACACATACTAAGTAAATTCAGTTTTTCATTGCAGCGATTGCACCTTCTTTCGTGACAGGACATGTTCAGTCTATTTTTTACGTGATGCAAAAAAAAAATTAAGAGATTTCTTTGTATTTGCTTATTCCTACTTTTGTATTTCTTTAAAGAGTGCAATCTTGCCTACTTGTAAGAAATATTTAATATTGTGCCACTTTCAACTATGTATTTGTTAACTGTTTATTGTTTTAGTTGACCTCACGAATGCTGTCACTTTTTTTCTGCCTTGTTTGTTGGTATTTGGGGCTAGTCAAGCTGCGTTTTTATTGCAGCTTTTTTTCTGCATTTCACACCACACCTTTGTTGTGACTACAAAAAAAACATCAATGTCAATGGGTAATTATGTGGTAAAAATAAACTTCAAACATTGATACTCTTTTTCAGTTTTTTTTTTTTTTTTCAGTTTTAAAGCTCCTCTTACTGACGTATATACTTTAAGTATAGAAAATTCTAAGAAGTTACATATTTTGCTACTATTCAAAGTTGTTTCCACTTCCTTTGATGCACAAAAGTGACCTTTGCACAGGCCTTGTTTGAAATTTTAGGAAATATTGAGCATACGAATCTAGCCGCTAAAGGCTCTCACGTAAGTATAGTCGAGTCAAAAATGACGTATACCGATTTTTCTTTATAATGTGCGATATGTATATTATCTGAATTCGATTTAAAATTATTCGACAAAAATTATTATTTGCTTCGAACCAAAAATTCACTGTTTGCACAAGCCTAGTTCTTATATATCGTCTACGAGGCATATTTGGAACTACGGGCTCGAAGGAAGCCCATCTTTGTCCACCACATTGGTCTTCCACAGAAGTTGAAAAAGGAAGAAAAGCTGAGGAAACATGTTTGCCTTTCACTAGTAAAGTGTTGTCGGCAACGCTTCAGTTGCACCAAATCATGTGCGAAAATACAATTCGGCCTCTGCATTGCCTCATTCTTGATACCATAAAACGCCACTCCACCAAACACAGCCAAAAAAACTTTCACGGTGCTATCTCACAGGAATAAGTTCAGAGATCCTTTACAACTTTTTTTTTCTTTAGTTTCGACTCGTACTCGCACTTTATTAATATTCGAATTCGTTTTGTCCCCAAAGTATTGCTGTTCGCACAGCTCTACAACTTAGCCAAAGGCATCAAGGTCAATGCATTTCTACTTTGAAGTGGGACTGTTTGCTTTGCGCGTGTCGCTTATTCTCGATGTTTGTTGATCATTGCAGTTCATCGTGGTCTCTCTCAAGGAAGGCATGTTCAACAATGCCAACGTACTCTTCAGAACAAAGTTTATCAACGGCATGTCGACCGTGTCTCGCACGACGCAGAGCGTTGATGGCAGTGATTGAGCGTGGTCTCGTAGCAGTCGAACGGAGCCCGTGGTTTTCATCATCCTGATACGTTGTATATATTACTTCATTACTCGTAACGTCTCATTCGTAACGCCACCTCTTAATCGTGAATTTTATCGGAATGCTTTTATTCTGTGACTATGTTAAATAAACTTTTTTATTTTTCATATAACTGCCTTATTTTTTATGCAATCAGCATTATTAGTGTAGTTCCTGCTTTCTTGTATTCCAACACAGAACCAGAGAGGAGATAGAAAACTTAGCTTCGTTGTCTTTTTACCACTTCACCACTATACCTCCGTATAGCTATGCTAATTTTTCGGAAAATTTTTAGTGCTGTTAGTGCTGACAGAGGTTCTTGTAGCGTGGGACAGGCAAGAACAGGCAGCAGAGCACCCCTATTGTATTCCTCAGTGCTGCATCTTTCCCAGTTCCAATGCACCGCTGCATCTCAGTAGTGAGATCATTCTCGTACAACGCGTTGCAAAATGCACGCCCAGTCGGCTGAACCGCCATAGAACAGAGCAGCGTTGTTGAATTTCTGTGCAGCTTGCCCTAAAATCAGGTTGCATGAGTAAAGCAGGTGACAACGATGGCTGTTCCCACAAGTAAAAGCACGGCCTTCGAGAGCTGCATTTTCTATACACACGATGTACCCCCGACCTATTTGGGCCCTTAAATTGGTTCTAGATTTCAGTTTGCAATAGTAAGGCCTTTGAGGTCTGTTTTTGTTGCCCAGAACCTGGGGTGGGAAAGATGTCAAGTCTCGCAGTTTAGAATTCTTAAACGACTTACTTTAAACACACTGCCACGCTTAATTTCTGGTTGGGCATGTCTTGTAGTTATGACGTACATCTGTCTCCTCTAGTGAAGCATTGGCTACGGGATTCGCAAAATAAAAAATGGGTGTGTGTGTACAAACACTCTCTCTGGCGTTGGCGATATTCAAGGCCACCTGCTCAGACTTTTGTTTTAGGCAACCAGGTATTGCTCATTGGGAAATAATGGCTATAGCACCACCTCACTAAGATACAAGTTCCGTATCTAGGCTCTTTATTGCTGGTATTTAGCATGCACAATTGCTATTAATAACGAAGCTGTCATAAAACAGCCCAACATGTTCAGGATTCGTGGTAATGCTTATTGGCATCACGAGGAGACATGCATCACAGACGTTAGGTAAATTTCTCTTCGTACCACTGGTCCACCACAAATGAAGGCTACAGTTCGCTCAACAAACAGTTCAGTACCACGTAAAACTGTGCAGCCTATCGGAAAACTATCGTCATCGTAAATGTGTATATGCTAGAGAAATCAGGAAATCGGATTATGCATGGTCTCACCACTGTCACATGATACTTTGTGGTACTTAAACCTCAATTAACAAACGCCGATCTAAAGAAATATCAGTTATGGCGAATTAAATCAAGAAGAGTCTTGTGGTAGTGTTAGGAATAACCAATGTAACATTTTCAAATATACTAACAGTTATTATCTTGTAAGATGCAACTTTGTTATATGGCACCTCAAAGCTTAACACACATTGTTTAATCAAAAGCAGTGATACAATACAGTGCAGTCCACTTATAACGATATCGAGAAAACCTAAAAATATGATCGTTATAACCGGTGATCGTTATATCTGGACTGCCGCCAAAAAATCGTCGCCGGACGTACCTTTTGTAGCTCCAGGCTTCATTTCGCTATTTTCACCAATTAATAAATATTGTAGATAGTAGGATGTCAAAAACAAGACTTTACAAAAACAAGAACTCATCACGGGTTCGCTGAGGAAGAGAGACTGACCGACGGCGGGGTGGGAGCAGTGGGAGGAAGAAAGCACAGCCAGAGGTACACAGCCGGAATGCCAACGAGGCCCCGCCCCGATACCGCCGCGCCGCTTTGCTTTTCGCTTTTTTTATTTTCTCTCTCTTTCCAGCTTTCGTTCGGCAATCTACGAGTAGCTTGCCGTTGTAGAAGGCGGGAAGCCGCGGAGCGCGGCACTTTGCTTTTCGCATTTTTTTTTTAATTCTCTCAGCCTCTCCGCGGTCGACGCGCGGCGAGGCGCAAAACGTGACACAGCTGGCGCCATCTGTAGCGCGTCGCGCCAACTCGCGATGCTCTCCTCGGCTTTTTGAACGGCCGGGACGCGCTGCCGGCGCTGTGCTGCAGTGGCGGCAGATACGTACTCGCCTACGCTAACTTTTCGTCTTGTCTCGGCATAGTTCGTTTCAGAGGAACTTATCAATCTAAATGTTACGATTATTCTGAATGAAACATGCCGTCCACGGCAAACTTTTCATCGTTGTATCCGATATGCGGTGGATAACATATCGTTATATATGGTTTTTTTCCCCATAGCCCCAATGCATAAAATGAGACTGTTAAGTCGACCCATCGATATAACCGATATATCGTTATAAGTGGACTGCACTGTATATCTGACTTGCAAAACACGGAAATTCGTTAGCTTGATGAAGGGAATACAACCAGTTTTGCTGTTTTATTAGTGTCGACAAAGTGGAGCTGGTTAATTTTCTTAGTCCCCCGTGCACACATTCCTAAGGGATCTGCAAGAGTGATGGGCGGTCTGTTCAAAGAAATCGGCGGTGGGCCACAGCAGTGAGAGTCATTTCCACCCCCGCCTATTGTGGGAAGAGCCCTTGTGCAGGGCTGCATTTTGTGAAACAGCTGACGTGTTTTGAATTTCTGCACGGCAATGCATACACAGCAGTTCAGTTCAGTTTAAGGTAGCGTGTTGAGTGCCTCGCCACTGTAGCTGCATTGCAATGGATGACAAACCCAAAAATGTCGGTGCACTTGCCTAAACTCTCGAATGGTTGAAATTGTAATCTGAAGTCGTAAATCATTGCATCACATTTGCTACTCCACTGTGCATCTCCACTGTGTACCTCTTTTAATTCCTGTCCACTGGTACTGAGAATTAGTCGCTTGAATTACTTCAGTGGGTTTCAAGACAACATAACGAGTTCCATGTTCGATCCCAGAGTTCTGTTGCAAGGCTCCCCCATAATGGCCCTTGGTTGCATTCCTTGGGTATTTGCATCCACTGCGATTTGCACTGGTCTGCGAAAACTCCAGTCACGTACGCGTACTTACGAAGGACTTGAAACCATTGCCTCAGACTGTGCAGCATTCCACGTAGCAAGCGAGTTCTGCCAAAGTCACCATAATGAAAGGGGTTTGTTTTGTCTTAAAGGGACAGACAGCTGTCCAGAACGCGTCTTGAGATGACTCCACTGATGAAAGATTGTCCATCGCATTGACTCAAACCGACCCTGTTTTGTTCTTGAGGCGTGGATTTGTATTTTCATTTCTTCATTGAGAGTCGCGAAAATTACATGAGGCACTTCTAGCGGAAAATCTTAAAGGATCAGATGTACTCGGTTGATGATATTTTTGTTAGCATCGAAATATTGTTCGTTTATTTGTATTAAAAGATATTAGTTCATATAAATGTACATATAGGCCTGCATTGGTAGTATGCATTATAATAGCGCTGCCTTCCCGTGGCGTAATGATCTAATGCTCGTCGGCACGTTGTGAGCAACTTTTCAGCGGGCTCATGCAGCCGTGCACACAGTTTCCTGGCCGCTAATATTTTGGAGTGACATCGTATTGCTACCCACAATGAGCCTCCGAAATGGTGCACATTGCTGGCTACTCGGCGCGGCTGTGCATATGTGCAGGGACGCTTTCACTTGTGTGTATTGGCTCGTGTATTGTGTGAGCAACGACGCTGGAACAAGCCACCCATGCCACCAGAGGAGGCAACCTTCGGTGCAGACACACACGATGCGGTACAGATGCAGGGAAGATATATAATGCTATATCATCTCATCGTAACAGCTCATTTTTAAAAATAGTTGAATTGAAAAGCTCGAAATAAATGTGGGTAAGCATAGTTCCAGGAATTCCTGTGAAAGCACGACGACGCCAGCTCTTACAAAGCGCACGAGGGGCTAGCGGCATCGCTATAAACTCTCAGCGTTGCCGGAGGATAGGCTCGTCTGTTTTTAGAGCCTTTCAGGTGAACAATTACCACTTTTAAATAACTACGTGCTTTTGGGATTAACTAATAATGTTACAATCACTAAGGACGGTGTGCTTTCTGTAGTGCGGTAAAAAAAATTGGTCTAGAAAAAATCTGTTGTCGGTGCCTTCGATTGTAGATGCAAATATTCCGAATTTCACGTCGTATCAAATAATACATAATGGAATAATTTGATTCTACTTTTGGACAGCTAGTATTTGAATTTTGGAACAATTCAATAGAAATATCTAAAATGCGTTGAAAGACTACTGGTGCAACATTGGCGGCGTGGGGTGGCTAAAGCTAGCGCTGTTTTTATAGTAGGCCTCTCGTTGGAACTCACCAATATTCTGGTGAAAGAGTGAGGGTACTTGTATATGAAAGGAAATCGTCATTTCCGTGTGTTAAAGAACAGTTAGAAAACTGTTGAGCCCTTCACAACATCGCTTCCAAAACGTAGGCACTCTCTTCTTGCATGATTTGGTCGTGTATGCTTGAAGTGGCATAAAACGGCCAGACTTTGGGGCCCGCAAGACCCTCGATGATTGGCTTCATATTTAAAAATTTGTTCACGCTGTGCAGTCACCGCTGCCACACCGTGCCACATTTTCAGAAACTTCTGTCATTCCGGCACGCAGTTGAAATGCTGCTGTGAACAAGCACTCGAACATTTTGGTCCCGGAGCACTCGTGAGGACGAAGCACAGCATTACCATTGTCAGGCGAGTCGTATAGAGACCGTAGGGGAAAAAAAACGGATAGCTTTCCCCTTGTGTTAACGAGCCATTTCGTCTGGAATAGCTTGCATTTCTTCAAGACAGTTAGTAGTATTTCGCTAGCAGTCGCTTGCCGCGTTATCTGCTAAAGGAAATTAGCAGATTTCGTTTTTCTTCTTTCTTTCAAAATTCAATGAAACTTTTTGTGTGTGATGTATGTATATATGATTTTTTACGACTATTTGGAATATTCTATTTGCATTTGATTTCAGATTTTTCACGATTCACACACCCCTAGTCAATTGGAAGAATTTTGATACATTACCTGAAAGTAGCACACACACACACCTTCTTTTAGTCTTCATTATTTTTCTTTTTTTTTTAGAAGTGCACACATTTT